GAGGGTGTGCATTTAGCAATAAGTCCTGAGCTTGGGACCGTGCAAGGTGTGCACTTAAGAAGGGTGTGCACTTATAGAGGGTGCACTTAGAGAGGTTTGACTGTAGTCAAATATACCACTAAAACCATTAATTATTCACGCATCATGCCTTTTAGATTGTCTATCTTTGTAATCAAAGTAAATATTTTTCATGTTACGAATTTAAGAAAAAACTGAAAATAATTTATTTCATTCTTGTCCATTTTGAATATATTTGTTTTTCGCTTTATTGACTATCAAATGGATTGATTCGATTGGCTATAGTTAAAAGGCTAAACTAACTAATCAATTAGCATAGCTATATTTATATATTTATGGCCCCATAAAGCAATGCCTGAAGGAAAGTCCCTCAAGCGTTATTTAAGTTCCTATTAATTTAAGATCCATTCATATCACTATATCGCACTTAAACTTTTTAATTCCTTTTAAATTATTTTTAATATGCCCATAAAACCTAAATGCTTCTAAAACAGACGTTATTACAACTTTGTCAAATTCTTCCATTTTGGAAATCAATCACTTGTATATGCCCAACTCATTATTTTTGACCTATGTATATTTGCAATAATTTTTGATTATCTTTGTTCACAGAGTAAATATTTTCTGTATTACTGATTCAAAAGAAAAATGAGAATAAGAAATAGAATTTCTATTTATTTCATTGTCCATTCTTGTCTGTTTTTGATATGTTTGTTTGTTTGCTAAATCGATTATCAGCATAAGATTCTTTCAATTGCTTTAGCTAACAAATTTATATATTTACTGCTAAATATCTCAAATTATTTAGACTCGCTGATAATTATACCTCGCAGTAGTAAGGGAAACAGATTATTTATTATATACTTACAGTATAATAATTGTTTTTTTTACATACAAATCCATTAAACAGTGGGGTGGTCAAGGTTGGTATGGTTAGTGACTCTAAAGTTGGCAAAACTAGTTTGAGTAAGAGAAACAGGTATATAAACATAGTATCTGTTTATATAGTATTATCTCTCTTTACATATGTAACCAAATCCTTTAAACAGTGTGGTGATTAAGGTTGGTATAGTTGGCGATTCAGAAATTGGCAAAACTAGTTTGATGCATAAATTTATTTTGATGAATATTATAACCAAACCTATGATAATGACTCAACGTTATCTTATTAATTTAAAATAACTTTAAAATTTCACTTCTTTCAATTAATATTTCTGAAGGTGTTAACTTTAATGAAAAAACAATTAAATGGAGAATCATGAAATTATATTTAGTATATAGGATTTTGGTATATATGTTGTACCTTAGATACATTCTTGTGTCGGATCTAATCTGATGCACGTCAGATGCTGATTTTCAGGTGATGCACGTTATCTGTCAATCATCACCTGACATGTGTCAGATTAGATTCGACGCAATATGATCTTTAAAAATCTGTAAAAAAAAAAAAAAAAAATTTCTTCAAATTAACCTTATTATATAATAACAAAATAGTGTAATTATAACGTAATTATGAGTAAGGGTATAAAAAAGCTCTTTGTTTTCTTTATTCTTGTCTTTTTTTTATTGATTAGAAGTTGGCTTTATGCCTCATGTTGGCTTTCACATTTGACGTTGACTTTCTCATTTGACATTGGCTTTCACATTCGACATTGGCTTTCGCATTTGACATTGGCTTTCACATTTGATATTGGCTTTCGCATTTGATATTGCTTTGCATTTGACATTGGCTTTCGCATTTGACATTGGCTTTCGCATTTAAAATTGGTTTTCGTATTCGACATTGACTTTTGCATTCGATATTGGCTCTATATTGCATTCAGCATTAGTGGTACTAATTAATTTCTTGGATTTCAACATTGTACGGTAATATAATTTTTTGCTCTTACTTTCTTTAAGTATTGGCTCTTTTTTTGGCATTGCTTATAACTCTGGTCTTATCTCTTTTAAGTGTTTGCACTTTTCTTTAGTGCTGCTTATAGCTTTGATCTTGCTCTTACCTCTCTTAAGTGTTGGCTCTTTCTTTGACACTGCTTATAACTACGATTTTGTTTTTACCTTTCTTGAGCGTTGAATTTTTTTTTGGTGCTGTGATCTTGTTCTTACCTCTCTTAAGCATTGGATTTTTTTTTTGGCACTGTGATCTTGTTCTTACCTTACTTGAGCATTAGATTTTTTTTGGCATTGCTTGTAACTGTGATCTTGTTCTTACCTCTCTTGAGCATTGGATTTTTTTTGGCGCTGTGATCTTGTTCTTACCTCTCTTTAGCATTGGATTTTTTTTTTTGGCGCTGTGATTTTGTTCTTACCTTACTTGAGCGTTGAATTTTTTTTTTTGGTACTGCTTGTAACTGTGATCTTGTTCTTATCTCTTTTGAGCATTGGATTTTTTTTGGCACTGTGATCTTGTTCTTACCTCTCTTGAGCATTGGATTTTTTTTTTTTTGGTGCTGTGATCTTGTTCTTACCTCACTTGAGCATTGGATTTTTTTTTGGCACTGTGATCTTTTCTTACCTCTCTTGAGCATTGGATTTTTTTTTGGCACTGTGATCTTGTTCTTACCTCTCTTGAGCGTTGGA